ACATAGACATACACACAATAATCTATTTTATCCTTGTGATGTTACCTCTATCCACTTGGAAAATTATGGAACTATTTCTATAACTTGTATACCTAGACAAAAAAATTATTTGCCCCACATTTCTTTAAAAAATGTATTTTTAAATTCACATCTTAAAAGGTGTTTGTAGATGTCTTTGGGGACAGCATATCTGGTTGATTTGTATTTTAATTTTATTATATTGTCCACTGCTTACTTCATAAACCCTGTAATTAAAAATGTGTATATCAATCAAAATTTTAAATTAATAGTGTGACTCTTTTCATCTTAGAAAACACTATTAGGTTAATATTCTAAACATTTGAGGGGAATAATATTAAGTCATACCATAGTTTCTTTTTTAATATTTTTCAAAACATAACTGACTTCACAAACACCAACTATAACATGATTTAGACAACTGAGAAACAGGCAAGTGTATTTTAAAATGCTAAAATAAAACACATTTATACAAGTACAAAGCAAAACTGCTGATAAAAATGTTAAACTTTATGAAAAAAATCATTTGCAATTCACATCAAAATAATTTAACATTCTCTATCATTTTAATAGTATAAGCTGCAACAACAGAAAAAACAGATACGCGCACACAATTTTAAAACCAAATCAGTTGTAAGTGCAGAAAAAGTAGGTACAAGCACTTGTAGCCCACACAAATCTTTTAGGATTGGCACCATCTCTCTAAAACATCTATATTCTATATAGATTTCTAATTACAACACCACCAGCAGCTGCCATTGAATTCTAGAAATACACACAATATACATAGTATATTTGTTCACATTGGGAAGATCAGTGAAATTCAACCAACTATTTTATACATGCCTCATTTTTCAATAGACAATAGAGAATCTTCCAGGCCTCAAACTGTTTCAAAGCAAATTCTAATTTATCTTTACACATTCACTGATCTGTATATTTTTTCACAGTATAAAATTGTAAATGGTAACTATAGAGATTCTGACAGCTTGAGGGTTATTAATAAGCTGTTGCTAAATGTGAACTCATATAATACCTTTGAAGTCTCCAAAACATGTACATTTTGCTGGGAGACTAGTATAGGAAAAGTTTTTTTTTTCTTTTTTTCTTTTTTCTTCTTTTTTTTTTATTTGTTTGTTTTTATTTAAAAAAAATTGTTTAATTCCTGGTTTGGAAGTCACAGAACTGCAAAAAAGCCATTATACAATTCAGTTACAGTCAGAAATAACTCCTAGTCTTCCTGATCACTTGCTGGTAATATCAATAGTTTGGAAAAGACTATTACTTTCAAGGATTAGCACATTTGGGGATTTGCTTTTTTCTCTTGCTTCAAATTTCTGATGATTTTCCTTTCCATACTCCCTTTCTGTTTTCCACTCCTAGCCTAAAAATAACTTTTCCCCCCAATCCAGATATGGTCTTCTCAGGCTGCCCCCACTCTTCTCCCACAGAAGACGAGGGGATTGCTTAATCCGTACAACTTGATCAACCCAGGTCTTCTCTTTTTCTTTCCAGGACCAGACTCTCTTGTAGTGTCACTTTGCTGATCCTTAGTATTTTCCTGTACTTTCCCTTTCCTTTTAGACATACAGATCCTTACTGAATTATCATTGGGCACCAGTAACAGATTGTTTCCAAGGAAATAAAAATAGGTACCCTGTATCTAGCCCTGGAGTACATGTCAGTTCTCTTTGTATTGTAGAGTTATTACTTGGAACCTGGTATTAGAATTGGCAAAGAGATAATTAGCATCATTCCAAAATAAAACATCTCAAGAATGTATCACTAATAATTTTATGTCCAATATACAATGTATTTAATGATGTGTCAAAGGTCATAGAAATATAGAGAAAAATACATCTTGTTCTCTATTTTTTTATTATTATAGTTGATAATGACGTGAAATAATCAGGTGAAAATTTATTTGCATTAAATTTTAATTTCTAATGAAGTTTCTCAAGGTGAACTTATAAACTTCTCATTTAAGGAAATGTTACTGACAAATAAAAACAAAGAATTTAGTCATGGAGAAAGTTTTTAAATTTTTTTTTTTTTTTTTTTTTTGGTCAGTAGAGTGAAACTTATTGTACTTGAGAATAAAATAGAAATCAATGTAAGGATTTAATGACACAAATTGTAAAGCTTAGAGAATAGAGCATATTTAGAAATATACCTAGGAAATCAAGACAGTAATCCCCAGATGAATGTCACCTTTCTGATGGGGATCCAGGAGTGTTAATATTTCCAAATATTTACATTAGTTTTTCAGGTGGAGGCAGACATTTTCTTTCAATGAAATTAGGAAAAATAGCTTCATGAATGAAATAGGATTTCATTTCTGTTTCAAGAGTCTCACTCATATTTGGGATCAGGGTGCTCTGATGATGTTATTTTCAAATCTGGCATAGGAGGTTTGATTACTGTTAAGAATATTTTAGAAAATTAACATTAGCTTTAAATGTTTTATATTGGGAGAACTGACTTCAAATTTCAAGTAAGAACATATCAGAAAAGGAAAATCCACAAGCAGTATATTCATTGTAACTTTTTAAAGAGGAGATGGTAAGTTATGCTGATGAATAGTCTTCAATTTCTCAATTTTTTTAAGTAGATGAGAGATTTAAAATAAGGATATTTAGCTAAAAGGAAAATTCTATTTATTTTTCTCTCTGCCAAAAATAGACTTCTGCCTCACAGCAAATCTTTTTCATAAGGCTATCTTTAGTATAAGGCTGGGTCAACTGAACTTTAAATTTATAGGACACCTCCTCCTTTTATTACTATCTTTATTTAGAAATCAAAAACATTTGGTACCTGAGGATAGCTGCAGTGGGATGAATAAAGAGATGACAGTGAATTCAGGTCTTGAGCTATGATTTCTACCTTATATGATCCTATCAAAGCACATATTTTTATTATAACTCTAAATCTCTTTTCTGCAGTATTTAAAAAGTGACAGTATGAAGTGCACAAAATCATATTAATACTTATTTTTAAAATGAAAATATTAATAGTTGCTTTGCCTTTTTTTCTTTTTTTTGGAATGGCTAAGAAAGACTTGTTAATATTCATTAAGGTTCCTCTGTTTCAGTATTCTGTATTGCTTTGAAAAATCTACGTTTGTCATAGTTCATAGCTGCCCTGTGTAAGCAGCCAGGAAAAGATAAAATCACTGCTCATTGGCATAGCAAAATCTTTGCTAAGCCTACTTGACACAGTTTAAAATTTTCAGTGTATTAATATTGTATTAATTTTTTCAACAATAGTCCCTCCAATAGTGACAACGTCTTCGTTAGGTCTACGGACCACTCTTCCAGTGGTGGGACTCAAAAAGAACAGAGGAGCTCTTGTGCATCAGGTTCTCAAAAGAAAGGAATGAAGAAGCCCAAATGCATATTTTAATATTTTAGCTGGCAACACTAACGGAACAGCATTCATAAGGAGTGGCTGTGTATCATGAAACAGATCGCCAGGCTGGAGCTCAAGAATTATTATTATTATAAAGAGAAATTCCAGCTACACAATGCACCCCAATGAGGGAATTACAAAATGGTATTCCAGAAAATATTATTATTATTTTTTTGCTACTCCAGTATTGATTGGCAACATGGTGAAATAGTCAAGAAATCTTCCACTGGTTTTTCTTGGTTAATGGAGGTGAATCTGAAATAACTAGGTGGAATTCCAGATGCAGGCTTTTGGAAGAGTATTTCACAACCAAATTGGAGAGGAAAGTCTCAGGTAGAAGCTCTAGGTGCATGAGCACAGCACTCACTATCCAGTTGTGTGTTATGCATGGGACATACTCACAACAACTCCCACCTCTAAGTACTGGGCCCAAGGTACTGCTTTCCAAGGTCTTTAAAGGAAGGAAAAAAATAAATAAATAAAAAAGTAACCAGAAAGGTTGACGTTTTGGTCCCAGATGTAAGAGTTTGTTAGAAAATGTACATTCATGTTTGGTGAATCAAAGACTCTTCTGGGAAAAGAATTAAAGTAAACAAATAAAACTTTTTACAGTTGCTTATTAACTACTCTTTCATCTTCCATTATGCTTTTTCACTGTCTCTGCTTTCCCTAGAGCAAAGCACTTGGTATGTAACTGTTTTAACAGACTCCTTGTCAGCCCTCAAAAATATAAGCAATGTTTCTTAAAAGCCCATGTTTTCTAAGGCCACTAGAAGAAAATCTGCCAAAAAATTTGTAGTTGGTGTCTTCGTCGGTTGTTGTGAAATAGCACTATAATCTCGTGTTTCCATCAAGGCTGAAATTGGCATCTTCTACCTCAGGTCCTAACCGGATGAGAACGCGTGTCAATGCGTCCCTCCGTGTGAACACGGAGATCTCTGCTCTGCATGCGGATCCCAGCATGGTTTCCAGTGACGTTCACAACGACGAGGAACTCTGAGTGTAATCTCTTATGATAAGAGTGTCATATTTGGGAGACGATGGTATACAGAGGGCCGATTCGGACACTGGCGAGTTGGGGGTCGTACTCCCCGAGTCCACTGAGTCTCTGAAAGGGGACGGCGGGGTGAGAGCCACCAGCTCCTCCAGGTCTGGCTTGCCGGCCGCCGCCTCGGGACCGGCCGCTGGGGTCTCCGGAGTAGCGCCCCCTACCTGTGAGGCTCCGGCTGCGGCCTGTGTGCCACCAGTGACCTCTATAGCTGGCAGAGGCTGGATTTCGGCGAACGTGGTCATGGTCGTGGGCAGTTGGATCTCTTTGGGGATCAGGTAGGACGAGCAGAGAGGAGCGCCCACTCCGGGGCCAGGAGCAGCTGTGGACAGCATCATGGAATTGAGCTCACTGATATTGGCGGTGAAGCGAGTCACCACGCTGCTGATCTGCTCCATGAGCGAGCCCTGCGAGGAGCTGCTGCGCGCTGCGGGCTCCGAATGCAGCGAGGGCACGTCGTCTTCCGTGCGGCTGGCCGAGCCCGCGCGGTGGCTCAGCGTGCTGATGGGCGACGGCGAGCGTGGCCGCGCTGGCGCAGGAAACTGCTCTTCCGCCTCCGCCACGTCGTACAGCGCCTTGGCACCCGCGTCTGGGGGCTCAGCCCCTGCTGGGCTAGCGCTAGCACAGCTCGCGCCACCCACGCCCCCAGACGCCCCTGGGCCCGCGCTGCCCGCGCCGGTGCCCAGCCCGCGGCTTTCCGTGCTCTTGGGGAAGGGCTTGATGACGGCCGTTTGGTTGGGGTTCTCTTTCTTGTTGATGTGGACCGACAGCCGCTGCCATAGGTGCTGTCCCCTACTCTTCTCGTTCTGGGCCCACGTGACAGATTTTCCATTAGAGCTGTTGAGAGAAAGAGAAGAGAGATGACTCAGCGAGGTCTGAAGGGGTCTTCCAGGTGGCTTCCCCAATGGTGGGTGATTGTGGGGACTGAGAAGGAAGGGCTTTTCATATTCTTTCAAGAAATCACACATCAAAAGGACATCATGGAAAGAGGCCTTTAGAAGTGTCCTTGGTTTTCTTCTGGGTTAAAGGCTGCTTTATTTTATCCGTATAAATATCCGTATTTTATCTGCTTTATTTTAGCTGTATCACTACCATGAACATGTGTCAGATGGGATAGAAAACTACAGGAGCATTTTTCAGGATTCTCTGCCCACCCTTGAGTACAATAGTTGTTTATGCTGCAAATCCAGAAACCAGGGTTTGTAGTATTGTAGTTGTGTTCAGGAGTGCCTGGTACAGGGTAAAGTTTTCCTAGAGTTAGATGGAGGGAACATTATAACTACAATCTAAACTCACAGTCTCAAGAGGGGAGAAGGGTAGTGAGAGAATCAGGGTTTACCAGGAAGTAGTATGGTTCAAATTCAAATTTTATAATGCAGTTTTATATTTATAACTAGGTATTTCTATCTGAACTTCAGAATTTGAACTTGGTTTTATTTAGGTTGGCTTATTTGCTGGAAAATAATTAATTAGAAATTCTCTACTTCACATAAATTCTCACATTCTTTTTAAGCTTAAAACTTGAATTCCACGTGTAAGAGTGAAATGCATCCCTATGGCACCTAAGATAGAGATCTCCAGTTTTGACCTTGATGAGTGTCATCTGACAAGGTCTTTCTCCCTCTATTCTTTCCCAAATAGTCCTTTTTGTTCTCCAACCTTGGCTCTGAAAGTTACTCTGATGAAGGTGTAGTTGGTTCCCATTCTCAAAGTCTGCACCCGTACCACCCCAACCTGACAGAACGACCTCAAAAACTGTTCTTCATCAGGAATATCATGTCCCTGACCTGCAGGGACATCACATGGAAAAAACTTGATGTGAATCCATGTCATGAATTACATGCAAGATTTCTGTGACTAGGGGATCTGTTATCTTTAATGCAGACATCTATATTTTAGGAGTTGTGACCAAGAGATAGCCTGGGGCAGTTTGAGAAGAACGGTGAAAAAATGTAGTTTTATTGTATTAATTATACATAAGACTCACCTAGGGTGTTTGTCAAAATTGCCAGGTTAGTCATTACCCCCCCCCCCATTCTGATTGTCTGAATTGGGTTTTAAGCATCTATGCTTTTTATCAGAACTCTCTTCTGTGTCCCCTTCCCGAAGGTGACTGATGCTGGTGTTTCACTGAGGAACTCTGACAGAAAGCTATCCTTTGTTCTGGGCTCTCATCTCTCCATTGTCAAGCAGGGGTCTAAACCCTGTTTGGAGCCCACTTGCTTTAAGGTTGTCTGATTGCACCCGCCAGATCCACTCTGCCTGAGACACTTGCTCCTTTGGAAACAGACCACTGTCTCTATAGCCCTTTTAACAACATTCTTCTTGACTTTCCTATACTGCTTGCTTCTTCATCTGTCCCTTTTTACTTTGTGGTATTCCTTTTTCTACTACTTCCTGTGAAATCTCATTTCATTTAATCTGCTCTATATATTACAACCTAATGTCCTTCAGAATTCTGGAATGTGAGATATTTCTCACCACCCCCACCCACTTTTCTGGAAAGGATGAATGAAATCATTTCCAGATTTGGAGGTTGCTATGCATCTATAGTAGCCGAAAGGATACTGCCAAATGCTTGACTTTCCATTCTAACACTGTCTCAGGATTTGTTTTTTTCCATTTTGTATTAACCTGACCTGCTACCTTTTAAGTTTTCAGTGCATTACTTTTCTTTTTCCCAGGTGACCACTAACTTCTGCATCATGGCACAGAAGAAATGGGCCAGGTTATTCATGGGATTTGATTGAGAGGATGGTTGCCAACTACTCCCTTTCTCTGCTACCTGCAGGTAAGAAACAGCCATTTTGGGAAGAGCAATTAGTCTTTCAGGTCACTGAGGCCTCTTTTAATACAAAGCATAGACTAGAAACCAGAAGCATAACTGGATTTATTCAAGCAAGCTTTACCCTAGAGATGCTTTTGCTTTCAGCAGAGCAGTTTTGTAACATTTACTTTTAAAAGTCTTTCTCTTTCATTCTCTCTTGAATGCTTTTAGATTACTATGATGGAACATAACTTTGGATGTTAACAGTGACAGTCTTTGGACTCACACATAGTCATGCCTCAAACTATGACAGCATACCGAAAAACTTTTTGGTGAATATGTGAAAAGAGAACCATCCTAACTAACAAGTTTTGAATAAAATAGTTACATCTAATTTTCTGATTGTGCCTTTGCACACAGTGCCCATGGCCTTGAGGGAGAAAGAGCACAAGAGCATCTGAATAGACATAGAAGACATCAGAGAAATGGAGTCCAAATCAGAGCACTTCATTTCATTCTGTAGAACATTACAGATTTTTTTTCCCCAAAGCAAACAAGAATTCATAAGAAAAAGAAAAAACTACTCATGATGTTACTTAGCTCTTTATTAGTGAAATGTAGGTTTTATGAAGTCAGTTCTTATTCAATGACAACAAAATCTTACCAAGACTTTTATAGATGAATAGGATTTTTCAGCTAACAGGGCCATGTGTGGTGCTGTGGAAAGTGTAATGGACAAGAGATACTGGATTCTAATTCTGGATCTGCCATCCTGGATGCTTGAGGAAGAATAATTTCTAAGTTTCAGCAAGAAGCAGACAATGATTCAATTGGCAAAAGTTATTTTGAGGATTCAGTGAAACAACTCAGGTATATAGTAAGGAGAATGTGTCTAAGAATGTTCAGTTTTTGTGTTCAATGTGAATACAACATGTCAGTAAATAAAAGCAATATACTCAATGCCATTTTGAGCCCCAGTAAAAGAGAAAGAATTAAGGAAAAAATAAAATACATGGTAAAGCTATAAAATCTTTCAAGTTGTTTCTCCTTACTTAACCAATTTTAACAAATATTTGAATCCCTAGTCTTTCATCCTCTTTTTCTTACCCTCAGCTGTGTTTCTGATTGGTCCCATCTGTTCCCACTAAATTCCATGTTATTCTCTTCTTGAAATGCTTTTTCATTGTGCTCCCTTCTCTCTTCTACTTTCTTTTTTGCTTAGACACAGTATATTTATTTACTTTCACATTTCACTTTAATTTTCTTGAAGAAAGCTCTCCTTAACTGAGACCCTGATTAGGCTGACTTCCATTTCTGTAGCCATTTAGGCATTTGATAACTCTGGGTCATATGTGTGTCGCATCTGCCAGATGGGCATCACAAAGGCACAGGTTTGTTATGTCCATAAAACCCAGTGTGTGTGTTGCCTAGCACACTGCACACACTCAAAACTATATTGGGGCCAATAATTGAATGGATAAATGCATTTCATTTTTAAAATTTCATATTTTTTCTGTTAGAAATGAAGTTTCAAAGATGATTTAATATTAATTTTGTCTTATGGATTTATTTACTTTGTATATCACTTCCTTTAAATCAGTAGTACTCAGTGTATCTAGATAAAAGATATTTCATCAATTAAATATGGTCTTGATATCTACAATGAAAATCATGAATACTTTTTTCATTCATCGCTATGTGTGTGTGTGTGTGTGTGTGTGTGTGTGAGTGTGAGTGCACGCGTGCACGCGAGTGAAATTTCTCAGTGATGAAGCTTAATGAAGCAATATGGATAGTAGAAGGGAAATAGAACCTAAATGGTGGGTCTAAGAGCTGACCCTGATTAATGCTGGGCAAATCATTTAGCACTTTTGAGATTCCTTATGGCTAAAAAAGGAAGAAATGAATATCCATTGCCCAACTCACATGATTTTTTGGAGGATCTAATAGATACATACATAAGAGTGTTCTCAATAAAGTATAGCAGTTCTGGAAGCTCAAGAAATTATTCATTATTGTGAAATCTTCCACTCAATGGAGATGAGATATTGAGTTTATTATTTAGGCTGAGGATTTTTTTTTTTCAGCAGCAGGATTACATGTTTATTTTAGTGGCTTGAGGAAAACAAAAGAAAGGAAACTTTTCTTTACCTCTCCATAGATTTTACCTTTCTCCACTGCATATATTGGTTGTTAGAAAATCAGTGGAGGAAAGAGGAGTGGAAGAGAGAGAGACAAGACAAAATGTTTTGCTACATATAGGAAGAAACCCCAAAATGCTTCCACTATTTTCCAGGTACCATTAATCCTTTCTCAGACATAATAATACTGTACAATGTGATGTCTTCTCTTTTGTGATAATTTGCTCCTTACTTTTGAATAAAAAATAAGCAGCATATCAATAATGTTGAGTGTTTATCGACTTTTTTGTTTTCTTGGTTTTTTTGTTTGTTTGTTTACATTTCAGGTCTGCAAAAATGACAACTTCTACCTTGAGAAGTTTCCACTTCTTCTTTCCTTCAGTATAGGCACTTAAATAATTTATTAATTTCCAGCAGGCTCTAAATGTCAGCTTAATGGTTTCTCTACTTATCGCCCAAATTGAAGAAATTAGAGCATTTTGCCACAACATGACATCATTAGAGGCAAACATTAATAGAGAGAGAAGTTGACCGTCAAAAACTTTGTGGAATTTATAATTTTTTTATTCAAATGATTATTGAATAAACTGTGTAGTGTTTAGTCCTCAGAACATGTTTAGGGTTGTATGAACAGTACATAAGCAATTAAAATTCTTCTATGTTACTGAATTTTATAAAAAGATAAAGCTAAACAACACTTTTATTTTTTGTTGCATGGTCTAAGTTATGAAGTTCCTTCATAACTTAAATAGTTGCAGGGCATCAGAAAACTCTGAGTAATCAAACATGCCCTCCAAAAGTTAACAAGTATTTTTTATTAAAAATGGTCTTCATTACTGAGCCTCTCTTGTTTGGGTATTTTGATTTGAAGGGTAGCCAGGAGGGAGATGTATGATTATGAGCTTTCTAAGATTAAAATATTTGAAAAATAAAAAACTTGAAATGTTGTTAGAACATAGCAACTGCTGCCTGCAGAATGACATCAGAAAATATTAAGTGAATGAAAGAATTTCATAATTTAAGAATATTATAAACTGAAAATTTTCAGTGGTGATTCCATTTTTTTGGTTAGTTTTCTTAGAGTTTTGTATCCATATATTTTACTTTATAATTTGACTTGAATTACAAAGTATGGTGATACAATTTTTAAAGAACACTAAAGAATTTGATAGTGTTTATTTTCAGACATTTTAAAGTAGGTGAACAAATTTCTTTCTAACCTTTGCCCAAAACCTGACATCTAGGGGCTGGGGTTGTGTGGCTCAATGGTAGAGCGCTTGCCTAGCACGTGAGGCAATGGGTTTGAACTTCAGCATCACATAAAAATAAATAAAACCTGACATCTTGATTTTGAAAATTACACTGAGAAACACACTATAACATGTAAGAAAGTAGCAGAATTATCTATATAAATTTCCTCAGTTACACTATATAAAGAGCTATCTGTTGACAGAAACAAGTTAAATGGCCATGGCGATGTATGCATTAGAAATGTTTGCATAGAGAAAAACACTTAGGTGAAAGGAAATGAAACCAAGGACTAATTACCTAATACAGATAGAAGAATCCAAGCAATCCACCTTGTGTTTACACAGTGCTTTATAAAGTATGTTTGGGAATGCTCTGATTGTAAAAGATAGGTAGGAACAACATCTTTATCAACCTTTTCAAGGATGAGAAAACCAAAGCTCAGTGAGATTGGGTGATTTGCCCGAAACAGTTACAGAGTTAACAAATGGCAAAGTGAGACTAATGCCATCTCCTGATTTATAATTACAATTTACACTGTCCATACTTTCTTTTTGAAGTTAGACCTCCTTAATCCACAGAAGAAAACCTCAGATGATATCTGGAGATGATATGTGTTTAAACTAGGTAAGCCAGTCATTTTATTTATAGTCTCTCTTGCCCAATGTTTCTGGACTTCTTAATCATACGCTTACTCATATGCTTAAGAAAGCACTCTACATCTTTTTGTGGCCATTAAATCAAATAGCACAAGTTCATTAGGTAACAGTGTTTGTCAGAGATAATGATTGGATGTCTCAATGATGGAGGCACTTGAAGCCTACAACCATATAAATTAATATTATTTGACAGTTCTCAGCCTTTTTTTCTCTTTCATGCTGTAATGCAATAAAAAACACTTTTCCCATGGATGTTCTAATTCTCTCATTTTGTCTCTGACTCATTTTAGAATTCCAATAATATGTTTTTTGGATAACTTTATATCTGTACTATTTTGAAAAGTTTGTCATTTAAACTAATAACAACAAATAATATGTTTTAACTTTGCAAACGATTTTTATTCATGAATGCTTTTTAATACTGTGAATGAAAATTACTGATGTATGAGACAGCTCTCAAGGAGGGTAAGATGGAGTTAAAGAGAGAAGACAGGTGCAGAAGGCTAACATTATTAGGTGTTCACAGTATTTTGACGGAGAGGTTGTTTATCCTTATGACATTGAAAGGAGGAAGCAGATGGACAGGTGGAAGAATGCTAAAAACAGGGAAACTGAAGTATGGCAGTGAAGCATGCAAACAAGGAATCAGTTCATTGGGCTCTAACGGGACATATCAGGAGGGAGTCAAAATTTCATAAGAGGGGAAAACCATTTCTAGCAGGAGTGGTCAGAGAAAGGTACCTTCCAATAGGGGACAGCATGCATCCAGGCTTTGAATAATTGATAGACGATGGTGATGTACAAAGAGAGTGATAGACATTGCCCTCCATGAAAGATAGCAGTGACAGTGACAAAAATCCACAAGGAATGTTCAAGAGAGAAAATCCACTAGGTTCAAAAAGATAACCATGGGCCCAGTTTGACTATCGGGATATAGTAGATGCTAAAGTATTGGAAGGTACAGGTTAGACTATATTGTCTTCTATAAAAATTCTTGCTATTACACTACCCCCAATCTATAAAGATCTACTTCCCCCTTCTCTCTTTCTCTATTTGAATAATCCCTTAATAATAACTCTGTGTTTCTCCTCAGTGTCTGGAATGCATACATGGTTGAATATATTAGACCACAAAAGCAGGCTGATTATTAGATATGAATAAAACCTACATTCTTGATAAATAAATGAAGAAATAACCATGTCTTCTTTTTGTTATTCCTAAGCCATTGAAATTCTGTTATTTAATGTTTATATTTTTGATCATTAGCTCAGCAGACAATTAGGATGCAGGCACAATGCCATCATCTTTGTAAACATTCAACCAGCTTCATCCATGGATGCTATTTCCCATCTAACTCTAGTCCTGATCCTCCTTCAGGAAAATGTTAAGACCAAATTTATATATTTTTTAAGTTAATTAGTTCTTTAGAGATTGAGGAATAGGGAAAATTGTCTTAGGCAAAATAGTGCAATCTGGGGAAGATTAAAGAGGTTGTTCTGATAATATAGGGATACAATGTTAAGATGCTAATGAGTGTGCCAAAAATGAGGATGGAAAGAATGAACCAATAGGAAAACTACTGTGAAAGAAAAGACATTTGTTTTTGACCATTGGGTTTTTATTGTTGATATTAGAGGAATCCAGAGAAACTTGCCACTGGGGAAAGAAGTTTCAAGGAAATTTCCAAATAAAGTGGGGCTTAATGAGGTCTATATACTGGGGATGTTAAAATAATATAGAATAACAAAATTCATTTAATTTATTATACATTGAAAATATGACAAAGTCATTAATTCTGTATGCCAAATCCCATGAAGCCCTTCCCTCAGCCCTATGAGATGGATTTTCATCTTTCTCTTAGTAGCAGTGGCTGCACACTTTTAAAATTGCCCCAGAAAATATTTCTTACCAGACCTTTAATCCCCAATAAAATGGTTGTGCAAGGAGGATAACTCACCCCTGTGGTAACTAATTTTTGGTTTAATAGCAACAGAAAGCCTTTTGGAAATGTTACATGTCCATCCTGGGTGGGTTATTAAAGTGCCTAATGGCACGAGTACAGGACTACCTCCTCCAAGAGTGCTCATAAAGAGAACTCATTTTAACAAAGAAGAATGTGACACAGGAGCAGGTATTAAGCTTGGGCATTTTGTTGAGTCATTGCAGCATTTTCTTTCCTAAATTAAGCGCTTTCCTTTAATTCATAATTCAGTTATCTCAACTCAAAGCTTAAAACTAAGCTACCTCTTATCCTAAATTTTGAGTTCTAGTCTTTAGTATAAGTGTTCCAATTAAGACTAGAAGGAGTTTTAGTTTATTTGTGTTTTTCCCAAAACAGAAATGATCGTTTTCCAGTCATCATTATAAAGTCTCAGATTACAATTTAGTGAGAGAGAACAAGATACATATGTTTTATATCTGTGGGCCTGTGCAGCCAGGAAAACTATGTGGAGGAATTCAGCTCCATTTAAACCTTGCATAAAAGATGGAAATGAATTGGTGGCAAAGAAGGGTCCCAAAAGAATAATAGCTCCCATTTGAATAAAACTTTGTTGCTCATAAGGTGTTTTCACCTATATTATCATATTTGACATTCACAACAGCTTTCTGATATGGCACTTTTCAAATTGAATTAGGTATTTAAAAATCAACTCTGCACCATATCTGGAACACCCTAAAGATGTCAGCTTTGAGTATCTTCTGTACTCAGTGTGGGGCCAGGTGCAGAGCAGTTGGGCAGGGAGTTTCAGTGAATGAAGTTAATTCTACCATCTTGAATGTTTGGTATAGACAGGCATTAACTGATAGGTCATAGACAAATGTGAGTGGTGGGAACATGAAGTTAAGGGAATAATTCTACAGCAAAGGCCCACTGTGCTTACCCTCACGTTTTCACTTTTAAAAAGTAATTTACCTGCAGCACTGCCTGGCTTAAGTCCACAGGATAAGTTACATTGCTCTGCAAACAACTTATTATCTGTAGGAGAACTGAAGATCTGAAATGCCGATGAGAACAAAAGTTACCCTGAAGGGGGGGGACTTTTGTGACACAGATAAGAGATCCCAGAACTCAGGGAAATGAGGATAATTGCCCCTTACTACAAAATCCCTAAGAACAGGTACGAATTAGAGCCAGTCAGCATGAGTCAAAGTGATTTAGAGTTGTGATGGCAGTGGGGATTTGAAAGTCTGATGTTATCCTGTTGTTGGTCAAAAGTCAAGAGATGGACCTGGGGAACTCAGGAAACTCCCCAGGGACTCTCAATAAAACTGAATGGCAGGAGAGCCACACTATTCCTCTCTTTAAGAAAACCTACTCTCTTCCTTGAGCGTGTCCTCTTTCTCCCTTTCCTATCCCTTCTAATCAATTCATGCCCGTTATTCTGAACAACATGTCTGAAATCTTTCCAGTGTGATAGCAAGAATCAGAGGTTGGTGGGGTTCATTACTACCTCAGTATCATGGAAGCCACAGCCCTATAAAACTAACCTGCATTTTAGATGTGAAAACTTAGGTTATGGAACTAAACCAAGTTACCCAAGTCAAAATAAATGACAGAGCAGTGCTCCAAAATGAATCCAAGGAATATGAAGTACAACAGTAAAAAAAGGTTAGGTATAGAAAGCCTATTTAATCTCTCCTTGAATTTCCAGTATAAGACACTCTGACTTAGGCATAAGTAATGAATAAATGTTTTAAAAATAAATAAACTTGAGTTGAATCAGTTCAAAATGACTCATGACACATGGAATTAGATGAAATGATCAATTTAAATTTTTAGAGCACTCAGTTTTGTTCAATAACTTTTGCCTATATTTTAGATTACCCACCTAATATGAATACAACAATGAGAATAAGTGGACCCAACTGCAAGATATTATCTATATCTTGAGGTGAGACTAAAAGTAGAAAGCATCCTTCAAAATTCACACATTCTTATCTTAATGCAGACAAGTTTGAACTTGCTGATTATGTGGCAGGCTGCTCCCTTTTTGGCTTGGCACTTGTTATATCAGAAATTATTTTGATTTTCTTCTTCCTCTTCACAGGAAATCAGAAGCTATAATCTATTGTGTCAAATAAAGTATATTTGCTTTTTTTTTAAAACAGGAAATCATAAGATATAAATCTGTTGTTTCAAATAAAGCAAATACAAATATACAAATAGTCATATATATATATATATATATATATATATAACTACTGAGTTATTTACAAAAACTGTGTGTGTGTACGCACATGTGTTTGTGTGTGTGAAATATTTGCCAAATACATATTTGACAGTGGAGGGAAGCAGCCTCAAGAAGGTTTTGACCAGCCCTTCTGTTTCTCAATTTAAAGGGTGTTAGGCAAGAAGATGCTTGAACAGAGATTGAGACAGAGGGTCATGTGCTTTTCATAGGCTGAAGAGTTGATTGCCAAATTTAATAACACATGAATGCAATATACTCTCAGTAATTAGTGATTCTTTTAGAAAAATAAGCAAAGGGAATTAGGGACTTGGTTTATGTTTGTGACACTTGGTAAAGTCAATGATTTCTATTGCAATCACCAAACTTCAGCTAGACTGAGATTTTGCCATCTTGTGAAAGATTTCTTTGGGAAATTGCTGTAAGATTTCAAGGATTTATTATAAGATGTATAAAAAAAGAAGGACAACAGATGACTTGAATACATGGCTACAAGATCAATTAGGTTAAACAAAATTAATTTCTCAAGACTTATTATGTAAGCATTCACTGAGAGTCTCTTAAGGGCAGATAGCATGTGGTGTGGGCTCTGCCATTGTCATCCCTACTGGCTTCCCTGCTTCCCACCCACCCTGCACCTGGTCTAGTGTTCCTTAGAATAGTTTGTGAAATTTTCTTCTTGGAATTCTTGAAATGTGATCTTGTAACTGTGTGTCATGTTACTTCTCCTTTTCTCTCCTCTCCAAATCTAGCCTATATTATCCAGATCACAGATTGA